TGAGAAAAAGCTTAAAGAAGGTTGATTTTTTGAGAACTTGCGTTTCTGAAAACGCCCTTTTTGGGGGGCACCTGTTACTTGATAGTTTAATTTTTTCAAGTTAAAGTCCTGAGCTATCCGGACCAGATCATCTGCAAACCCTCCCACTAAAAAACACCTGAAAATACTCACATATAACTCGTATAACAGAATCACTTAAGCACATGGCCAGACCCACACAAATGTAAGTGAAAGCCCCAGAGGCTAAGAGGAAACCAAACTCGGGGGCCTGGAGTCTGTGAGTGATAAGGTGCTTGCAGCTCTAGGGAAGTTGTCATTTCAATAACCTGGAAACTTGGTTTTTATGCCTATACTAGGCTGGGAGGCCCTGGCTTTGAATTCACTGGATTCAGAAGGTTGAAACTGACATCCTTGAAGACAGCTGGGACCTTTAAGGAGATATATCTTGTGATAAAAGGGTGAAACAGCAAAACATTTCCCATCATAGAAGAGTTAAAAATGAAGCTTATGTGTTGTGGCTTGAACTCAGAGTAGGGGGGGAAACGCTCCCTTGTAAAACTATAGCCATTCTATACCGCTGTTTGAGATCTGAATTTCTGCTACCAGCATGTTCTGGGCGAAATGACTGACTTTCTCGTCGGATTCCTCTGATGATCAATCACACCTCTTCCCAATGTCTGATTTAGGTTTGCAGGTATTGTCTGTCTCCAGCCATGGATTAGGACAGTGTTTCTCAGAATGCAGACTGGAGCAACTTGCTTGTTTTCCAGGCTCCACTGTTGTTAATGTTAGATGACAGTTCTGTTTCTCGTCCTTTTGTAGGAAATCCCAAAGATTCTAGGATTTCCTGTTTATATTTGGAATTACAAAATTTTACCAGGATTTGTCTATCTAGATTTTAACTCAATTCAAAACAAATATTTACTCATGCCTACTAGATGGCAGGTGCCAGGCTTCACCGAACAAGGAACAAATCAGGCAAAGATTCTTGTCCTCCTGGAGCTCACAATTTAACGGGGAGAGCCAGGTCATAGACTATATGCATAATGGATAAGAAAGTTGTATAGCATGCTAGCAGGTGGAAAGTGCTCTGGGAAAAGGGAATGAGTAGATCAGGGTAAGGGAGGTTGGTAAAGCTTAGTGGGGAGAGTTTAGTCTTTTTTCTTTAATTTTGTTCAGTGGGCTTTCTCAGACTTGAATACTCATGTATTTCTTGAGCTTAAGAAAATATTATTGTTCCTTCTCTGGTTATTTTCTCTCCCTACTTTCTCTATTCTTTCCTAATTAGACTGATGCTGGACCTCTTGGGTTCTTCTCCACACTCTTATACTGTCTGCCTCTTTATTTTTCTTGCTCTACATTCTTTAAGATTCTATGATTCTAGATTAACTGCTTGGCCTTTAGCTGCATCCAAATTATTATTCAGCCCATCAACTGAAATTTTCCTGTTGCATTTTGGCCACTCCTTCCCCTTTCTCAGCTAACACACCTCAAGTTTCTCTAAGGATATTAACTGCAATTTTTATAAAGTCCTCTCTTCTTTCCTAAATTGCTTCTGTATCTTCCAAGGTCAGTTTTTCTATTGGTTCAACTTGAGCCTCCTATTCCATGCTACGGATTTTCCTAACATATTTAGCAACCTTGTTTTTTTCTGTTTATAGACATGACTGAAAGGCTATGTGAATTAGCATGCGTAGCTTTCGTGAGTGCCTTTGCAGATTTGTTGGCCCCTGTGCGGCCTCTCCCTTGGCTGACGGAGCCGTCCGAGGGGTCTATGCCCATGGAGTTCCAGAATATAGAAATCTTTTCAGGTACCAGGACAAGAGGCAAGTAGTCAAGCTAGAGACTCTCACAGTTGTCCCAGCGGGTTCTGTTTCATTCCTGGGCCCTACAACCTGCCTCAGACATTCTCGAGGCAGACTGTGCACCTTCTCCGGAGAGCAGGCTCCTGAGTAGTGCTGCATGTGAACACCCTTGCTTCTGGCTACTCCATGTTCTTGCCGGGAGACGGAGAAGGACTGACTGACTGAGCCGTCCTCAGTGCTGCCCTTCCCTCCTCCATCTCTGCTTTCTGTTTTCAGTTGTCCGCTGTTGCATGACCAACCACCCCAAACTTCAGTGCTTAAAACCCCAAAAATGTGTTATTTTTTTATGATTCTGTGGCCTGACCATGCAGTTGTTTTGCTTCATGGGGTGTTGATGTTGGGAGGGTAAGGGAGTCTGAACCAAGCTTCTTCCATGTGGGTGCTGGCTACTGCCTGGGATCTCAGCTCAGGCTGTCAGCCAGGGCCCTTGGTTTTTTTACCATGTCCGTCTCTCCACGTGGCTGCTTGGGCCTCCTCACTGCATGGTGGCTGGGGTCCAAGACAGTATCCCCAGAGGACACGTTCTAACGTGTAAGCTCTGTTTCAATAATGCTCTCTAAGGTCCCATTGGCCAAAGCAAGCCAGCCACATGCCAAGTCCAGAGTCCAGGTGGTAGGGACCCACCATTGGGCATGAACAGTGGCAAGTGTGGCTCATGGGGCCACCAAAGCTAAAGCCACCACAATCTTCTGGGTATCTTTCAAATTTCTGGTCAACCAGGAGTACCCTTTCCTGTTTCAAGCACTGGATTATTTCTTCTTTCTTAAAAAAATATAGTTATTGGGACACATGGGCGGCACAGTCGGTTGAGCCTCCAAGTCTTGGTTTCAGCTGGGGTCCTGATCTCAGGGTCATGAGATGGAGCCCTGTGTCAGGCTCTGCGATCGGTATGGCATCTGCTTGGGATTCTCTCTCCCTCTGCCCCTGCCCGTCCCTCTCTCAAATAAATAAATAAATAAATAAATAAATAAATAAGAAAGATTTTAAAGATTTTATTTATTTATTTGAGAGAGAGACAGCACGAGTTGGGGAGGAAGGGCAGAGGGAGAAGGAGAAGCAAAGTCCCCATTGTGCAGGGAGCCTGACCCGGGACTGACCTAAGCTGAAGGCAGATGCTTAACTGACGAAGCCACCCAAGTGTCCCCCCAAAATATATATATATATATTTAAATGTATATATATATATATATATATATACACACACACACATATTCATTTATTGGCCAGTTAATTATGTTAATTATTCTATGTTACTTATTATGTCACCTCTTGGATCAGAGGTTCAAAAGCCATCTAGAGTGGAGGAGTGACTGTCCAGGAAGCCCCTCTCCCTCCTCTCCAATCACTTCTGTCCAACCCAAACCCTAGCATACGAGGTCTTTTTGTTATCCCTCAGAAGCAGTCTGAATACCACAGCAACCTTGGGTTTGGATTTAGGCCTTGTCCGAGTGCTCAGCCCTTTCACGCGGGAATGTCCACTTGCCCCCCGTTTGCCTGTCCAACCATAATGTTCTGTTCTTACTTAACAACGTAGACTATTTCTTCTTTCTTGCCAGCCCCTATGATGTCAAATTCCCTACTGCCTCATTTGATGGAAACATTATCATATGAAAGGCTATGCAGGAATACCCTTCAGGCAATGCTCCAGGAATATCATTTCATATGATAATGTTAATGATAGCCTTTGATCCGAGCTGGAGATGGATTCAGGTTGGGCAGGTGAGAAGAGCCTGCTGGTGTGTTGAGAAGGTCTGTGAGGTGATGCTCAATCTCTGTGGGAGAGAGGTCAGTGATCACGGGTGATGTCTGCCCTGGGAGCAATGGGGTGCCTGTCAGGAAGGTATTTCGCAACTCTGCCTCCAAATATAAAATGTACCTTGGCACCACGCCAAACCTTCAGAGAGTTGCTTATCTGTGTGAAATTCTTTTTGGCTCCTTGAGTGTACTGAGCGGGTCTTGGCGCCATGCCAATCACCTGCACGGAGGATGTACTGAAGGACAACTGTTCAGAATTTGAATCTATATTTATTGTAGGAATGTTGCTAAGAACAAAGTATGACACAGTGTTCCCTTTAAGAGGAGCCATTGAAGAGTTCTTCTGAACAACTGATCTGTTTTTATCTTATGGATACTGTGAATGTTATTATGTTTCCCTCCTTGCTTTGGTTGCTAGGAAACCCAGGGCCATGGTACAGACCTCATCTGGCAACTGCTCTAGACCTTTTGACGAACACTTTATATCCTAACTTCATCTCTCCTTTCATTTTATTTTCTTAGCACTTTCCTACAGACTTTTGTCCTTCCCTCTCCCTCTAGCTCTTCACCTCCTTTTTTTTTAAGCCCCACCTTCCCTTCTTCCTCTCCCCTTTTTCTCTTCAGTTAACATTTATTGGGCATCAGCTCTAGGTGCTGGACAGACAGCTGTCGTCACCCCAAAATATCCACATCACTAACTGCAGCCCTTGTCAGGGCACTCATGGTTACCAAAGAGAAATCTAGTGTTTAGTGTGACAGTGTTTCTCTGAGGGGCCTCATCACTGTCTGGTGCCTTCTCTGGACAGGATCCTAGTGATCTACCCACTAAGGCACAGCAGACTTACCCTGGTCACTCTCAGGTTATTTGTCCTGTCCCTATTCACCCCACAAATCAGTTTGATTACCCCTTGCACATTCATCTAGAGTGTGCAGTCTTTCATAAAAACATAAACACAACTTTTACGGGAAGGATTACAAAGGGCAAAACTGAAGCATGTAAAGAGCAAGAGCTCTGGGACTGGGGGCCAGCAGACCTATGGGCTGCCTTCTACTTTACTCTTTTGGAAGAGTTATTCTGTGCTACCCTCAGTCCCCGCCCACGACATCCTTTCTTAGTTCCTAGGGACCAAGTTCCCTCATGTTCTGCTTTCACTTCCCCTCCGTGGCAGAAATGGGCATGGTGAGAGCTACTTCAATTGAATTCCTGATCCGTCAATTATTCCGAATCAATGTGACGCACCAGAGAATGGTATGTATCTCCATGGGTCTATTTTTGCTTGCTTCCAGGAAGCTTTGAGTCAAATTTCATAGCTACGATGTTAGTCTTCATGGCTTGCAAGATTGATGCTCCTAAAAAGCATACACATAAACAAACCCACAACAAACTAAAAAAACCAAACGACTTTATTGTCCGAATACCTTTTAAGTCATATCCAACTCTTTTTCAAGATGGGAATTTAATACTTACTGATCGGCCTGGAATAGAACTCCAGACCTCAGCTTCCTGAGCAAGGAGTCAACTGGCTAAATCTGTAGTGTGTCCCTCCGCCATTTCTAAGGCATCCAACATGGTGCTTGGTTAGCCGTGGCATCATGGGTATAGTGACTTAGACTCAGTCACTGGGTATATATTCATGGGTATAGTGACTGAATTCAGGTTCACCCTCTCTCTTAGCCTTTTGACCTTGGGCAAGTCATGCCGCCTCTTTGAGCCTCAGTTTCTCCATCCATAAAGGGCTCTCTCTATTCTTCAGAGAGCTGCTGTGAAGGTTAAAAGAGATAATATTAATGGAAATAACCCTTGACCCTTGAACAACACGGGTTTGGACTACATGGATCCACTTATACATGGATTTCTTTTTGGATAAATACAGCCCAGTTCTATAAATGTATTTTCTCTTCCTTATGATTTTCTTTTTTTTTTTTTTTAAGATTTTATTTATTTATTTGACAGAGACAGAGACAGCGAGAGCAGGAACACAAGCAGGGGGAGTGGGAGAGGGAGAAGCAGGCTTCCTGCTGAGCCGGGAGCCCGATGTGGGACTCGATCCCAGGACCCTGGGATCATGACCTGAGCCGAAGGCAGTCGCTTAACCAACTGAGCCACCCAGGCGCCCTCCTTATGATTTTCTTTTCTTTTTTTTTTTTTTTTTAAAGATTTTATTTATTTATTTGACAGAGAGAGAGACAGTGAGAGCAGGAACACAAGCAGGGGGAGTGGGAGAGTGAGAAGCAGGCTTCCTGCAGAGCAGGGAGCCCGATGCGGGACTCGATCCCAGGACCCTGGGATCATGACCTGAGCCGAAGGCAGACGCTTAACGACTGAGCCACCCAGGCGCCCCTCCTTATGATTTTCTTAACATTTTCTTTTCCCTAGCTTACTTTATTATAAGAAAACAGTGTAGACGGGGTGCCTGGGTGGCTCAGTCGTTAAGCATCTGCCTTCAGCTCAGGTCGTGATCCCGGGGTCCTGGGATCGAGCCCCGCATCGGGTTCCCTGCTCAGCGGGAAGCCTGCTTCTCCCTCTCCCACTCCCCCTGCTTGTGTTCCCTCTTTCACTGTGTCTCTCTTTGTCAAATAAATAAATAAAATCTTAAAAAAAAAAATGAAAAAGAAAACAGTGTAGAATACATATAACATACAAGATATGCATTAATCAACTGTTTATGTTATTGGTCAACAGTAGGCTATCAGTATTACATTTCCGGGGGGTGAAAAGTTATATGCACAGATTTTTTACTTCATGGGGGGCGGGGCTACCCCACCCCCACCACCCCCACCCCCCGCATTGTTCAAGGCTTAACTACACGTTGGAGTCTACACAGTACAGTACTGTTGTGGAATGAGATTATTTTCACTGGGTTTGTGCAGGTTTCTGGGGAGGGTTCCTGTCAAACAGGCTCCTCGACTACAAGTGTTCTGACCACTCATATCTTCAGATTAAGAGAAATTGTTATCAAGAAAATCATAAAATTGCCAATATGTATATCACAGCACCCAAAGCTTTGCCTTGGGCCTTTGGTCTCTTGCAGACTCTGAGGGACCAGCTCCTGGGGTTGGGATATGGCATGCTTCTCCCATTGCACTCAGATGCCCTTGGGCTACTCTGCTGGTGTCAGGGCTCACCCACCCCTCTCTGGCAGTGTCTGTTACTATTCTCTTTGTCTCTACCCTCTTCCTGGGACAGGGAATTCATCTCCTTGATATTCAGCCACACCTCCAGGCTCATGACCCCCCAGATCTGTATCTGCAGGCTGTGTCTCTCTTGGTTTCATAGGCTAGTATACCCAGTTGCCTATGAGACAGTTCCTCCTGGGAACCCCATGGACACTGACAACCCAACATGTCCAAAACCAAACCTGTGCTCAGTCCCTGCCTCCTGACTTCCCCCCATACGATTCCTATCCAGATCTTTCTCACGTGCCCCCTTTCTTCCCTCGCATTGCTTTGGCTCCGGTCCTCATCATCTCTTGCTGGACCATTGTCCTAGCTTCCTAGTTGGCCTTCCTGCCTCCTGTCTCTTCTCTTTCTAAACTGTGGTCCACACCAGCTGCCAGGCAGGGCTCTGAAGATGGTACGCTCTCCCACTCGTAAATATTAAATGCTCCTTGCACTTGAGGTCTTTGAGATCGAGGCCCAGGTCACCTGTTCATCTTCACCTCCTGCCAGCCCCTCGGTGCATGACGTCCCGGTATTTTCAACCAGAGCAAATGACTTGAAGTTCACCACGTGACATGCGCCCACCCACTTCTGCCTTTCAAAAGTGTTGTCTCCACTGCCTGGAAGCCCCACCCCTTCCTCGTCTGCTCAGCCAGCTTCTACTTGGTCTTCAAGTCTGGGCATAAGCCTCACCTCCTCTCTGAAGCTTTTCTTGACTCCTCCAGACAGAACTGGTGGTTCCTACAGCAATCTGTACATACATCTTTTACGCCTTTTATGGAAATTGTTTACATATCCCTTTCTCACAGCAGATTGTGGTCTTCTTGGGCAAGATGTGTTTATAATTCATCTTCGTGTGACCACTTCTTAGAACAATGCTAGAAACATGGTAGACTCTCTGAGGACATGTGAAAAAGCTTGTAAGTGACTTACTATCACACCCATTTTTACAGTAGCTAACAGAGAGCACGACTAGAGCCAGGTCAGTGTGAGAGGAGGAATAAGTCTAGAACCATGAATCTAGTATAGATGCCACTTGCGATGTGTGGCCGTTGAGTGCTTGAAATGTGACTAGTCTGAAACAGGATATACTGTAAGTGTAAAATACATAAAATTTCCAAGACTTAGTATAAAAAAGTAAAATATCTCAATATCTTTGACACTGATGACTTGTTGAAACAATAATCTTTTAGACGTATGGCTTAAATAGAATATATCATGAAAATTAATTTCACCTGTGTCCTTTTACTTTTGAATGTGGCTACTGGAAAATTTAAGATTACAGGGGCACCCGGCTGGCTCAGTCGGTACAGCGTGTGACTCTTGATCTCGGGGTCTTAAGTTCGAGCCCCATGTTGAGTGTAGAGTTTACCTAAAAAAAAAATAATTAAGATTACACATGTGGCTCACATTATATTTCCATTGGACAATGATGATCTGAGCATTCGTTCACTGAACAAAGATTTCTCGAGCACCTCCTCTGCTAATATAAATGATAGGAATAGAATTATAAACAAGATGGGTAAGTTCCTGACCTCGAGGAGCGTACATCATAATGGAGAGAGAGACGCAGAACAGAAAGCAGACATGTGAGCAAGATAGTCTTGGATAGTGTAAGTGCTGTGAAGAAGGCAAGGTTTGATGGAGAGGGCGAGGGAGGCCCAGGAGGGTGGTCAGGTGAGGTCTTCTGGAGTTGATGGGATCAGAACCAGAGAGACGAGGGAGGGGGTAGGACACGGGAGACGGTACAGACCTGAACAGACAGTGGGGGTGCAGAAGTATTTGGGAAGGAACACAGGGAGCACTACTGTAACCAGAGGAATTGGGGATTGGCCAGAACTGAGGTGGATTCCCAGGTGTCTGGGTTGGACAGTCAGGTGAATGTGGTGCCACCAGATGAGAGAAAGCTGGCGTGGTCTCATGGCAGGTGAAGAAGTCCATTTTGGCCACGTGGACTGTGACGTGTGTGTGGGATGCCCATGTGGCAGCGCTGAGGGGAGAGGCCAGCGCGAGGGACCGTAATTTGGGATCTCTCAGCATAAGCACAGGCATTAAAAGGGAGCGTGGATGAGAAAGGAGAGAGAGAAGGTGGAATACGGAGAGGAGCCTCTGGCCCAGGGAGCACATTTCTACATCAGAACATAGTCGTGCGTGTGCCTAGGTTGAGGGGAAGGACACAGGGCAGCCAGAGGGGTTCAAGATATGAGAGAGAAGGCAAAACTCATGCAGCCGGGTTTGGGTGGTGATGGAGGGGCTGGCCTGGCCTCAGGGATGGGCTGGGAGGAGAGAAAGGGGTTCAGCGGAGGTATTTGTTGTCTGGAGGAAGAGTTTAAGGAGAGTGATGAAGACGAGGAGTAGTTGTGGAAGAGGGTGACATCCAGGTCAGAGGTGAAGGACATCTCTTGGGAAAACTTTGGCTGTGTCACAATTTGGGCCAAGGTTTTATCATTATGTCCTCAGAGTTAGACATAAGCCTCCCGGAAGCACCCAGATGGGGGATTAGGAGAGCTGGCTTGGGAAAAGTGGAGTGGTCCCAGAGCAGGTAGGTCACAGCCTCTGTGTGGCTCATTTTCCTCATCTCTGAAACGAGCCAAATGATGTCATCAGCTCCCAGGCAGGTGAAGGCTTAGTACACTAAGTACATCTCACCTCTCTGGGTTGCGAGGGCCGCTCTGTCTGAACTCACTGTCCTCCCCTTTCTAGGACAGTAGACCAATCCAGGCTCAGCCCCAGGGGGCTTTCTGAGACCTCGCCCCCAGCATGGTCAAGCCCGTCTTCTCTTTAACCGGTGGGCGTCTGTCTGCCGGTGGTCTGAGCGCAGAGCGCTTGCCTTCCAGTCCTTGTTCCCTGTGTAGGGCCCCGTGCCTCCTGTCCTGCAGTAACCTGGCCTCCAGGAACGCTACCTGGAATAGGAATGAATGGCGCTCCGGTCTCTGAAATCATGGCCTTTCTCCCAGGGTCAGTTTCAATCCCCCCAAATGGGAATTGCAGGAGACAGCAGTGTTCCGAGCAGTGCAGGGTGCGCAATTCATGCACACCAGCTCAGTTAATCCCGCCACACACTGCCGTGCGTTATCCCCATTTGACACAAGGGAAAAGACCGACGAGTTAAGTAACTTGACCAAGGTCAGCAAGCGAGTGAGCGGCCAGGCTTTGAACCGGGTTCTCTGCACCGAGCTGTGCGGGCTGGCTGCCCGCTGTTGGCTGCTCGCGGAGAAGATCCAAGGTTTCGGGATCATTTGTCCCTCGCGTCCCCAGGCCTAGGGCTCCCCACGTGGATGATCTCGCGGGCCCTTCCCGCTCCGCCGCCCCCCTCCGCTCCCCCCGCCGGCCCGCAGCTCGGCCCCGGAGCCTCTCCAGGTTGTCGATGATCAGCGCCCGGCCGTACCCACCCCCAAGCCGCCGCCGCCTCCCCGCAGAGCGCGCCCCCCCCCCCCCCCGCCGGGGACACCTGTACCGGGCCGGGGGCTGTCGCCACTCCTCGGCGGGGGCGCGGCCAGGGCACCCCCCGGGCCTGCACGGCGGCGCTGCGCTCCGGGGCGGCTGCGGGCCGGCGCGCCGAGGGGGCGCTGCTGAGGGCGCGGCGCGGGACGCCCCGAAGGGCACGGCGAGGGGCGCGGGCGCTGCCGGAAGCTGGGGCGGGGCGCCGCGCGGGATGCGCTGAAGGGCGAGCGGCGCGGCGGCGGCGATGAGTGCCTCTGCGGCCACCGGGGTCTTCGTGCTGTCCCTCTCGGCCATCCCGGTCACTTACGTCTTCAACCACCTGGCGGCCCAGCACGAGTGAGTGGGCGCGCGCGGCGGGGGCGGCGGGGGGCGGCCAAGTGGCCCCCGCGCCGCACGAGCCCCGGCAACTTTCCCGAGGGGGCTCGCGCCGCCACCTGCAGGGCCGGGGCCGGCGGGTCTCCGGGGGCTCCCCGCGCCGGGCCGGGGGGGGGCGCGCGGGCGCGGGGGCGGGGGCGCTGGGCTCGGGCGGGCGTCCCGGCCCTTCGGTGCGGTTCTGGAGCCAAGTGTGGGGCGCGCGCGCCGTGCCGACCCCGGGCCCGGTGTCCGGGGGGCGGAGGTCAACGAGGCAATGCCCCTGCCCTTGAGCAGCTCAGGGGCAGGGGTGTGGGGGTGTGGGGGCGCAGGCACCACCACCGACGAGCGTGGCCGTGTTCTCTCGGGTCGGGCCGTGTTCGTTTCGCGTTTCACAGGGACGTGTCCATGTATGGACACACACATACTTCTCATTTCTTATTAATTTTAGAAACTGTTGTGAATGACTAGCAGAAATACCCCGGGCCGACAGGGTTCTCGGCGTGCCTTCGGCACTACCCGTGTGGCCCGGCCTCAGTTGTCTGGCCTGTCAAATGGCCTGTATTTGTATCCTATTGTGGCGCCGCTGGGGGTAGGACAGCGCAGGGAAGGGAGGCCGAGCAGTTCAAGGCCAAGGAAATGGGTGGGGCCGACAGAGGCCGCAGATGGGTTTGGTTCAAAGCCCCGCCTCAGTCTTGGGCTAGGCCACCCTGCGCCGGGCAGCTGCGCGCCTGCCCGGCCGGTGGGACAGCTGCCAGGCCTCCGTGCCTGCTGGTGTTCCCTGCTGTCCGCGGGGACGAGGAAGTTAACCTATTAGGTTTCCCACAGCAGTTGGTGCTGAGGAAATTGCATCAGTCTGCACACGGCAACCCCCCTCCAGACCTTGGGGCTGAGGATAAGTGTCTGCCTCCAGGGCGGTGACTTCCTTCTCCCTTTCTCGCTCTCTCTCTCTCTCTGCTGGGGCCACCACTTGCTGACAGCCTTATCCAGATGGCCCCCATCCATACGGAGCGCTCCCTGGGCACTGGCAGTGAGGCCCTTGGTCTGACCCAGTCTCGGGGTGCATCTCCTGGAAGCAGCAGCTCTGGGCAGCAAATGTCCCATGTCTGTGAACACAGTGCCCAGGAGACCCTGCATTTCTACGGTGGCATCATGCGCAGTTCAACAAATATTTATTGAGTACATATTCTGTGCTTGACATCGTTCCAACAGTTGGGGATATAGCCATGGACAAGCCAGGAAAGGCTGGGGAGGCGAGTGTTGAGACAGACATCAATAAAGAAAAATGGGGTGATATGAGGGAAGGGGACTGGCGGTCAGGGGAAGCTTCTTGGAGGAGGTGACGTGTGCAGGAGGTGGCCACAGGAAGAGGTGGGGACAGAGCCTTCCACGTAGGGGAACGGGGACAGTGGGAGCAGAGGGGTGCGGTGGCAGGGTGCAGGGGTATTTGGGAGGGAGAGCAGAGCAGCTGACTGAAGGTCTGCATGTCCTAGAGAGGGTCTGAGGATGACTCGGAGATTTCGGCCTCAGCCCCTGGCAGGATGGTGACGGCATTTACTGAGCATACACTGAATTATGTATTGCCGTGTATTATTGAGCACAGTGCTAAGCCCTGCAGAGTTTTGAATAACTGGTTCCAGTGATTCTTCCCATCCCCCTGCAGGTTAAAATCCCAGTGGCCTCTGGCTCTGTCTTCTTTCTCCGCTCCCCGCTCCCACCGTCCCCGCTCCCACCGTCCCCTTCCACACTGGCCCCAGGGCTGGGCTAACATCTGTTTCCTCCCTGCAGTTCCCCACCCCGGGCCCTGGCAGAGCCTCCCCCAGGAGCTTCCGTGCCCCAGCCCTTGGATGCTCCTCAACGGCCTGCCTCCTTGCCCTGGCTCCCGCAGTAAGCGCTGACCAGGAGGCCTTCCTCTCTGACTCGACTGTTGAAGTCATACCTGACTTGATGGCCTCCCACCAATGCCGCCTCTTCCTTTTCCAGAACCTCCCTCCAAGCACCCGTAATCTCTCCATCCACCTAGCCCCCTGGGATCACACTTCTGCCACGAGAGTTACTTTCCTGTGGTCAGAACTCACCTTCCCCGGCCACAGCTCCCCGTGGCATTGTCTGGCCCAGCACAGGGCCTTGTGCTAGCGGGCCCTCAGGTAGGTTTGAATCAGTTGGATTAGTTGAAGCTTCCTTCCCACCCGGCCTTTTACAAAAGCCTGAAAACCAGAAAAAGCAAGGCAGGTTATGGAGTCAGGAAAGAGTTGGGATCTCTCAGTCTCATCCTCTCTCTCTCTCTCTCTCTCTCTCTCTCTCTCACACACACACACACACACACACTTTCTCTACTCATGCTCACCCATACACATCCCCTTTGAGTAGGTGTCCCCTTCATGGAAGGGCATCAGTAACCCCCCCCATTCCAAGACTAGCAACGTTTTCACCCTTGGGTGTGTCTCAGCCCTTACCCCCTCCCCCCCGCCCCCCAAGTCCCTGCTGGATCCTTCTCTCTCTGTTCTGAGCAGGTTCTGCACTTGGTGGTCACTGGGATACACACAGGATCTGCTGCCCCAGTTTCTCTCCGTTCTTTGCTCCTCCCCCAGGTGGCGAGTGTGAGAGCACACAGGTGAACCAATTTACGCTGCTCTCATACTCCAGAAGAGCACCAGCTGCGTGATGTGCCAGCTGTAAGCATAGGCCCTTGTAAGAGCAGGGATGGGGGTTACGTCCTGGCTACCACCTGCCTCAGAATGTGATTAAAATGCTTGTCAGCTTACCTAGCACACCTAACCTCTTCCCTTTTCATGGATGCCCAGTCCAGTATCATGTTCCTGACCCACATCAGCTTCCTCTTCCATCCTCTGCTCCTTTAGCTTATCCCTACAGGAGGAGCCACTGATGTGCAACACTAGAAATGTCTTATTTCAGCGTCTTAACTGGACGTTGACACAGTCATCCTCATTCTTATCATAGAAGTGTGTAATCCATCCATTCATCCACCATCCGTCATCCATCCATCATTCACCATCTATCATCCATTCATTCATCCATTCATTTACCATCCATCATCCATCCATCCATCTACCATATATCCATCATCCACCATCCATCATCCTTCCATCCACCATCCATCCATTCATTCACTATCCACCATCCATCATCTATCCATTCATCCATCCATTCATCCACCATCCATCCATCCGTCCATCTACCACCAATCATCCATCTATACACCATCCATCTGTCCATCCATCCACCCATCCATTCAATCACCATCCACCATCCATGATCCATCATCTGTCCATTCATTCATTATCCACCATCCATCCATCCATCCATCCATCCATCCACTTCTCCTTCCTGGCTTCTTTTCCCCTCTTTCCCTCCTTCATCCATTCAATTCTTATTATCCTAACGGAAGTCCCCAGGCAGACTTTCTTTGTCATACTCATCCAGGTATCTTGAAAAAAGCTGCATATTCCCATGCCTCACCCCAAAGTATTTGATTCTGTGGGTCGAGGGTGGCATTTGGAAATCTGGGTGCTCCTGATGCCCAGAGCCCATTCCCTGACTCTTTGTGGGGCCGGGGTCAGGTGCTGGAGATACAGCTCTCCTGCACCTGTGACCAGTCTCCTGTGGGCCCATCTACCTGCAGGTTGGATGGATCTCTTCCCACTTCCTCACTGACCAGTCTTACATTGGGGGCAGATTTCTAACAACCATTCCAGCTGCAGGTGAGTGGAGTGAACTTCAGCATGAGTTTGTCCCTCAGCTGTCAGTAGGTATGGTTAGGTTGTGGAATCTGTGACTGAGAAAGGTACTTTCCAGAAGTCCCAGGGCATATGGCAGAGGTGATCCAAAAGTCCCCTTGTCGGTCTGCTGTGGTGTGGAGGGGTTTTGGCCGAGGAGTGCTGTTTGTGGCAGCTCTGAAGGGCTGTTGAGGAGGCTGTGGTGTAGCAGGCTGCTGGAGAGGGCCATGGCCCTCTGTCTAGGACTGCAAGCCCTGCTTGGTGCTGGAGGTGTGAGAGAGAATCTCTGTAGGTGTAGAGGTGACCTCTGGGTGAGAGAGCTCGGAGTCCATTGAGATAGGACCCTCCATGGAGACAGGGACGTCCTCCATTCATCCACAGTGCCTGGCACATAGTGGTGCAGAAAACATTTTATCCTTAATATGTTTTAAAATTAGTTAATAAACAGATGATGAAATGACAGGACTTTGCTCAGGTCGCCCAGCTAGGCAGTAGCAGAGTAGGTCCTAGACTCTAGGTGTCTTGACTGCTAACTCAACCGAGCCTCACGCCCTAATGCTGTCCCACTGGGAGGGGGCCTTGGCCCCTGGTCTCCTTGGTATCGGGTCCTTTTCCTGTGCCCACCCTAGCCTCACCTTACCTTCCAGGCGCGGGGTTGGACTCTGGCTTGCTGCCCCGGGTGTGTGGAGCTGGCTTCCTTCTGGCCGCAGCTCTGGCCCAACTCTTCCTTCCTTGGATTGGCCTTATCCTCTGGCCCCTTTGATTATACACATCCTGGGGCCCTTCCTCCTGGTCCTCCTGGAAGGTGTGTGTAGCTGTGACTCTTCTGTGCTCCTTGGAGCTCAGTCCGAAGGTTTCTGGCTGGCTCTGAGGGAGGTGGCAGATTTGGTGGTTAGGCCTGTCAGTCACTGGGGAACGGGACTGGGAGGAGCGGGGGTGGGGGGTGGACGCAGAGGCAGTGAGGCAGGGGCCATCTTCAGGGTGGGCTGGGATGGGGTGGAGGGTGCAGGTGGGCAGGCTGGGAAGAGCGAGGAGCTGGTGGTTCCAGTCCCTGAAAGTCACACGGGTGGCCCGTGGGGGCCAAAGCACTGCAGAGAAACCTGGCTAAGCCCACAGCACTGGAACTGGATGCAGAGGCAGAGGTGGGGGGAATGCATTCAATAGCCAGGAAATTCCATGCATCAACATGTTTATTTCGATAAGTGACCGCCTCCCTGTTCTGGTCGTTGCAGTTCCTGGACAATTGTAGGGGTTGCTGGCCTCATCTTGCTCCTGGTAGCCCTGCTGGCTCGTGTCCTGGTCAAAAGAAAACCACCCCGGGACCCACTGTTCTATGGTACGTCTCCATGCGAGGGAAACGGTTGGTGTCCACCTCGCAGCACAGCTCTTGGGCCTTCACCTTCATCACGCTTCCTCCACAAAGAAGGAGTCTGTCTCCCATACCCTGAGCCCCACTGGGGAAGTGGCAGGAAACGGAGGAGTGTTTCAGGGCAACGCAGTCCTCCCCTCCAGATGAACACCTCCTCTGAGCCATGGACCCCACCCTTTCCCAGCAGGGATCATGGCGGAAAGTCACTGCCAGGGCCAAGCAGGAGGCTCCTCTGTTCCTCACCCCCACCCCCAGCCGTGCTCTGACCTCTGCCCTCGACTCTTGCAGCGGCTCCTTCCCGTGCTTCTTGCCTTTGCCTTGCTTCTTGCCGCCCCCTCCACCCGGCGTGGAACTGAGCTGTACAGTGTCTTGGTCCACTGAGGAAAACAGTGCTCCCCGTGGAGGGCTGCTACAAACATTCGGTGATATTAGTCAAATATTTAAACAGTGCCTGAAAAGTACGCTCGTGCATTACGTAAGTGAAAACACCCCTGATCCAGCACTTACAGCGAGCGTGCCTGGTGTGGCCCCGAGCACTTCAAAGTATTAGCTTATTTAATCCTCGCCAACAGATGCCCTCCCCTTACAGATGAAGACGCGGGCTCGGAGCCGCTAAGACACGTGGTCAAGGTCACATAGTGAGAACGGCATTGACCCCCGAAGCCACGCTCTTCTTTGCACCACGCTGCCTCCAGCCAAGCCGTCCCGCCTTCAAGCGCGTCCCCTGCCGGGGGCTGGGCTGCGCCTTCACTTGCTCAGTTTCTGCTTTAGCGAGGCTGCGTATCAGGCGCCCCCAGGCCTCGGTGTCCTGCCAGAGCAACAGACATTTCCCATGTTTCTGCGGCTTTTCGGGGATGTAACTGACGCCGGACACCGGGCAGGCGTAAGGTCTACCCCGTGACGATGTGATACACGGCTGCACCGTGAGATGGTGGGCACAACGGGGTTGTTCGCCGCAGGGTCCCTCACCTCACAGAATTGCCTTTTTCTGGCGTGTGGTGAGGACATTTAGGGTACAGTGCGGTCTTGTTCACCGCAGTCACCACGCTGTCAACTTACTCATCTTACAACTGGAAGTTTGTACCCTTTGCCCGGCGTCTCCCCGTGTCTGTCCCCAACTCACCGGCCCTGCAACCACCGTTCCAGCCTCTGTTTCTATGAGTTCAGCTTGTTTGGCTTCCACGTCCCCGAGTGAGATCACACAGTCTCGGTCTTTCTCTGCTGACTCATCTCGCTTAGCACAGTGCCCTCAGAGTCCACCCAGGTTGTTGGAAATGGCAGGATTTCCTTCTTTGTTTATGGCTGAGTCATACTCCATTTTGTTTATGCCTGTCTTCTGTACCCACACTTCGGGTACTTCCAGTCTTGGGTACAAACATTTAGTGCCCACGCTCACCGGTCTGCAGGTTAGCTAGGACTGTTGTGCATCAGGCTGCGGGTCATATTCAGAGCTGTCCCATGTGTCTCCTTGTTCTTGGACCAGCAGCTCCCCATGGTGGGTCCTTCTCATGGCAGAGGAGACTTGGGAGTTGGCCACTGTCACTTCCATGCACACTCCAGTGGCCAAAGGAAGTCGTGTGGCTGCGTCCATCATCAATGGCATGGGGAATATTCTCTGCCCACCGTGGATCTTGGCAAAGGTGGGGAGGGGAAGAAGAATTGTAACTAATTTCTCCCAACTTGCATATAAAAGACCCTGAAGCTTAGGTAAATCATGTGACTTGCCTAAGGTTGGACAGCCAGTGGGGAGATGAGTTGGACCTGTCTGAGTTCAAGGCCCACATCATTTCTCTGGCCCCACACCACCTGTCTTTGCTCTGACCCCAGCCTAGGTTTCGAGAGTGGTCTCCTGCTGCTGTCTTTCCACCCCACTCCGTGGAGCCCATGCTTAGCTGACTTGGGTCTCTCCCAATTCCCCAGGATTGAGCACCCTTGTTCCTACGCCCTCAGCCCTCTGTTCTCATCTATGTCCTAGCTTGAGCACACTGCAGCCCTGGGGCCGGGGCTTGTCACCTTGGACCCAGCATCCGACACTCCCGTCAGCCTCAGTGATCAGATGCTGAGCGCTTTCTTTCCTGGGGGACCTTCGGGGGCTGATCCTGACAGCAAGGTCTGGAGCACAGACCTGGAAGGCACGGGAAGGCAGGGTCTGTAGGGCAGGGCACTTGCGGGCCTTGCATCCTGGGGAAGATGTGAACGCCGGGGGCTTGGCTGCAGACTTGGCAAGGCTGGCTTCCCTTCTCTGGGAAGTAACCTCCCCATTTTATCATGGCTGTTCTTCTGTCCACCTTCGAATTCTTGTCCTACCCGTGCCCGCCACAGGGCTTCTGATGGGGTACAGCTTGAAAATGCATCCTTATTGATAAACTAACATGCACTAAGTTGATCTTTTGCCATGTAAAACGTATCATTCTATAGCTGTGTGTTGCTGGTAGCTTTAAGCCTGTTTAGGAGATTCTCCCAACCTGAGTGAGAGTCTCTAAGACGTTGTGGCTTGGCTTCTTTCGTATTCAATTGTGCCGTCTTGTACCCATTTTAAAAATCACTGGCCTTTCTTCTTACAACTTGCCCATCAGTCATCATCCGTCTTTAGGCTCTTCAGTGTGGACTAGGGCAAACATCAGACGAGCTGGCTGCAGGTAGGATGCTGGTATGGCCCCGGGCAGCCACTGGTAGGTTGTGGAGGATGGATGGGGTGACCTGGTAGGATCCCGTGGCACAGTTAGTGGGTGAGCATGTCATTCTGTCCCCGTGGTGGGTGTCCCCTTGGAGAGAGCACTCGGGCAATGACACGGAGATCCATAACAAAGGCGAGGGTCCTTCTGTACAGGAGGGACCTTCTGTTCGTCCATCTTGACAGTGCCCAGTGTCTTCTGGAAAAGATGAAGACGAAGTCACCATTTTTGGTGAATGCCAAGCTCTTAGTCATTGCCTCCTGAGCTACTGCTTTTTAAACTATTGCTTTCTTGGGGCGCCTGGCTGGCTCAGTCAGTGGGGCGTGTGTGACTCTTGATCTTGGAGGTTGTGGGTTCAGGCCCCACATTGAGCGTAGAGATTAATTTACAAAAATATAAATAAATAAATAACTACTTCTTCCTTTGCTCTAGTGTATGCAGTTTTCGGATTTACCAGCGTGGTGAACCTCATCATAGGCTTGGAACAGGATGGAATCATTGACGGGTTCATGACGTACTACTTGAGAGAGGTATGGGATCGCTTAGTGACTGTAAGCCTTATGCCGAAGGGTCAGCACCCCAAGTCCCATTGCTCAGAAAGACGAAATCCCTACATTTAGTGTAAGGTGGTAAGATCCGTGGTATTTCTTTTACTGCCACAGATGTAGGTGGTTTATTCATGTGGGAAGTGAAGCAGAAAGTTAGGATTTGATCATGGGAGACACTTCTTTTCAGCATCTTCGTCTGATACCTTCTCCCTCACACCTGGTCCACTACCTTTTTCCTTTGCTTGTATTTAATATAAATGAGATACTCTAAAGGAATTTAGTATTTGGTGTCTTATTATTAAAACATTACTATATCCGAAAGCCCAGGTCGGTCTTACGTGTGTTAGAGAACACAGACACTTAATGAAGCCATTTGATGGCGATGATCCTTCCCTTGCTGTCATATTATAGTGCTACCTGCCCTTGAGAGAGCTAGTCCTCTTCCCCTGTTTTAGTGGTGTGATGAATCCAGCTCCAGAGGTTAAGTAACTTACTCAAGGTCACACAGGAAAGTACAGTTTTCATCTGTGTTTCAAGTAGCGGCGAGCTTCATGTGTTAAGCAAAGGGAGTTTGGATTTTATCTCACATTCGAAGGAAGAATTTGAGTCAGGGAACATGCAGTCAGCTCTGGGAACGATGGGCTTGAAGGGGAGTGTCTGGGCTGAGAGCTGGGACTCAAGTCAGGAGGCTTTTGCAGGGCCAGCAAGGGCTTGAGGATGGCCTAGGCAGAGCCAAGCACAGGAGGTAGGGAGGAGGGACGAATTTCAGAGGCTTTGAGTGCTTGGAGTGGGTAGGACTCAGGGATTAGCTGGGGGTGATGGGGAGAGTAAGGTCCAAGAAGACCTCTTGCTTCCTGCTTTTGGGAGAATGGTGGTGTTATTAAACTAGAGGGATGACGGGGAGTTCAGCCCCGCAGACAGGAGTTGGGCACAGGGTATGGGCACACTGTGGAGATAGTGCGGGTTCGGTCCCGGACCGTTGCAATAAAGCAAATATCACAATAAAGCAAGCCACATGAAGGTTTTGGCTTCCCGATGCACCTAAAAGTTGTATTTACACTATACGGTAGTCTATGAAGTGTACAAGAGCATTGCGTCTAAAAACCGTATATACCTTAATATTAAAATACTTTTTTGCTAAAAACTTGATTATTATCTGAGCTTTCAACGAGTCCTCATCTTTTTGCTGGTGGAGGGTCTTTACCGTGATGTCGCTGGCTGCTGCCTGATCAGGAGGGTGGCTGCTGAAGGTTTGGGGTGGCTGTGGCAGTTTCTTAAAATAAGACAACAGTGAAGTTTGCCGAGGACAGGGAGAGAGAGGGAGGGAGGGATGCAGGTAGGCGAAGCAGTCAGACCACACCCAACAATCACCATCGTATATGGGTGCAGTTCGTGGGGCCCCCCAAACAGTCACAGTAGTGACATCAGAGATCACCGGTCCCAGATCACCATCACAAATAGAATAATAATGGAAAAGCTTGAAATATCGCCAGGATTACCCAAATGTGACTCAGAGACACACAGCGAGTAAATGCTGTTGGAGAAACGGCCCCGAGAGACTTGCTTGACGCGGGGTTGCCACAAACCTTCAGTTTGTAAAAAACACAATGTCTGCAATGCACAGTAAAGTGAAGGGCGATAAAACAAGGTCAGCCTGTACGCAGGGAAGAACTGGGCCTGGAAGCGGTCAGGGGAGTCCTCACTGAATTAGTGACACCGCTCTAGCATTTTTTCAAATGGCAATGACATTGGAAGGTAAACATTTTCCAGATAGACGAGGAGGGTGGAGGGCATTCCAAGGAGAAGGGTCGGCTTGATCAAGAGCTTGGAGGTGAGAAAAGGCAGGTGTCTCCCCATGGTCAGCCCAGGGTGCAGGTGTGCAGGGATGATGTTGAGTTCATTTGGGGACATGTGGAGTTTCAGGTGGTGGAGGGACATCCTGGCAAATGTCCCAGTTGGCAGGGCTTTGCAGGTCTTGAGCTCTGAGGACCATTCCTGACGGAGAAATTTGGGGGTCATCTGAGTATAGATGGTACCTGAAGTCTTGCTCGGGAGAAGGGGGAGAGAGAAGATGGCCAAGGGTGGAGTGAGTGGACCTCTGGAGGCCGTGGCCAGAAGAGTCCCTGAAGCGGATTGTGAGGCCAAGAGGCAGACGGAACAGCTGGAGAGCCTGGGACCTCTGAGTCCAAAGAGTGGGGAGCTCTTGGGGAGGAGGTGGCTGCTGAAAGGGGGCAGAGGTTGAGGTGTTGAGGGTGTCAAGTGGTGAGGCATGAGAAGCTGGGATGGGGTGTTGCTCTGGGAAGGTTTGCAGGGCCAGGTTCTGGGCGCCTGGCTGCCAGGTAGGGGAGGTGGGGCCGGGACTGCGGGCGGCCACCAGCTTTGGGAGGCTTTTGAGTGGAAGAGATGCGTTAGGAGCCAGGCCTCATGAGTCTTCATCTGGCAGGTGGATTGGAAAGAGAGGGAGACAGAGAGACCGTGTGGGACTGGCTCCGTGAGGGGCACTGAGGGCTTGAACAGGGCCATGTACGGACAGGGAGGGTGGCCCGCAGTGACCTCAGAGAGAGAGAATTGACCAGACTTGCCCGCAGACTGCAGAGGAGAGAGGAGTGACAAAAATGGCCCTGTGGCTTTGAGCCAGGTGGGCTGGGTGCTGTCATGGTTCATCGGGAGGCTGGGCGGGGCTCGGCGGAGGGCAGAAGCTGAGGAGTGGAAGGAGTTCAGGGGCGTTTGGAGGGCCCTCAAAGGGCCGTCCAGTTAAAGACACCCATCAAGCCACCAGGCGAGGCCGGCTCCGAGGGCCAGGTGCATAGGCATGACCATGATGTCGTGACACGGCATTGCTTTGTCCAGTCATAGCATGTCGGAGAGAAGGGATGCGGGCACGCAAGTCCAGCTGCCGAGGCACTCCCACCTGCTCCACAGTCCTCATGCCATCAGATGCGTGGGGAGTGGCGACAGAGCAGTCCCTGCCCCGGGAGCGTGGGGCTCCAGCGGGGCCGCTTCTTGGCCGCTGCCGACAGGACTGAGGGCGTCTCAGGGGGACACAAGGCAGGAGAGCATGAACGTGGGAGCGAGGAGAAAGAACGAGGGGGCGTCAGAATGACATTAACTCCCCTGCGAATTAGACCGTGACTTTCTGGGAGCCGTCCGGAAGAGGGAAATGTAGTGCGTCATAAAATCTCAGGTTCATAAAATTAATTTCTCAGGAGAAGTGTGGCTTTTCTTGATGGTATGCTCCGTGCTAGGCGTTCGCTATGTGACCTTAGGCTGGTCCTGTGACCCCTTGGTGCCCTGTTTCCTCATCTGTAGAGTGGAGTGAGCTGTGGGTCCCGTAGGGTGGCTGGGAAGGTCGAGGGGGTGGGGTGCCTGTCCGTCTGTCTGTCTGTGTGTCTGGGTGTGGGCAAGATGTGCCTTCCTCAGCCTCAGCCCAACAAGCCTGGGGATCAGCACGCAGGCGAATGACGCAGGGCAGCTGGTGGTTGTGGCGGGCGGGGTCTTCTCTGGCCACCCCCTCCGGCCAGAGCTGACGCACCTTTGGTCCCAGATTTGACTCGGCCTCGGCGCATTAGCCGTGCAACCACGGTTGCCCACGATTCCACCTGCCTGGTGTCACTGTCCACGTGCGTCACCCAGAGGATGGCCAGGCAGGCTCGGGGCCATCCCATGGCAGACTCTGGCGACGGCGGCTCCAGGGCAAAGTTTGTACGGGAAGAGTCCCGTATGGGACTGAGGCTAGGTTTAGCTTAGCAGACGAACACAAGCCAGCTCTGCTGTTCCATTTTACTTGAAATACAGGTCTGGTGTCCTGGGTGGAGATGTTTGAGTCCTATTTAAAGTAGACTCCTCTTTTGCTCTTTCCTTAGGGTGAACCGTATCTGAACACTGCGTATGGGCACATGATCTGCTACTGGGACGGCTCTGCTCATTATCTGATGTATCTGGTGATGGTGGCGGCCATAGCGTGGGAGTAAGTCAGTCCGTCCGCCGGGTGTGTCCCTTTGCCAGCCTAGCAGCCGATACGCACGTATGTAAGGAAACCAGACAGAGGGGCAGGGCACAAACAGCTACACATGCACGTGAAGATACGCTCCACGGACATGAGTTAGACGTAGTCAACACAAGTTCCTTTCTTGGCCCCGCTGCCTTTTGAACAGGTCCCCTTTGGATGATCCCCTGCCATGGGGACAGCTTGGGCAGACCCCTTACGCTTCTGACTCTGTTGTCCAAGAAGGACAGTCTCGTCTGCAGCTGGGTCCTCGGGGATGCACGTGGGGCTAAAGAAAGGGGGGCAGAGTCTTACATGACGATTTCTGGTTTCTGGGGATCGGTGCCCTCAGTTCTGCTATGCCAGGACTGTCGTGTGGAGCCCAGGTGTGGGCTCTTCAGAGACCCCTACCCCAGGAGACTGTGTGTGGCACAGAGGCCTGACATGAGCAGTGCTCTTGCTGGCTGAGTTCGTGGGACTTCCCCGCCCTTGCTGGGACACCCACGGCGGCTTTCTGCTGGCGTCCCTGTCACCCAGAACGTGTACCCTTTGTGGCAGGATCCTTTCAAGCCCAGCTACCTTCCCAGGCCTTCCCGTGGCTCCAGGTTGGAGAAAATGATGCATTCTTGCCCCAGATTGAGGTGGAAATTCAGCATGACCAACTCCTTGCCCTATGCCCCTGCCCCCTCAGTCATGAGCTCAAGGACAGCTCCAGCTGAGTTTGGGACTCTTTCAGGTCCTAGCCTATCTCTTCATGAACGTTCCCAAGCCTCCAGGGCACACGTCAGGTATTTCAGAGAATGCCTGGACTCTGCTTGGAGGCGGCCAGGAGTGGGTTGGAGTTTCTTTGGCTCTATTAGAGAAGTTCTGCTATGGAAGAAGATTCTTGTTTGTCCTCCTGCTGACAGTCCCAGTCATTGTGAACTGGCCTCTTGGGAAGTGGCAGCTCTTGGCTTGGGAGGTGGGGCAAGGCAGAAAGGTCCACCTCCGTTTCTCTTCAGAGAATCTCCCTGTGATCTCTCATGGCCCCTTACGGAGGTGGGGTAGCAGGGTTACCAGCTGAAAGAGCTTTTTGTCAACCTCGCCTATGAAGATTCGGGGTCCGTGTCCAGCTGCCCCATTAGGACACGGGCTAGGTGGCACTTATGATCTTCATCACTAGGGCTCCGGCCACAATTCTGATACCAGGGAAAGTCCATTTCACATCCTGTTACTCATACTCATTGTAATGCTTTAAAATATGGGTCCAGTTTCCCTTCTGTTTTGAACCGTCTTTTTCCTTTCCTGCTGTGAGTTTCATAGGACACAGTGAAATGCAGGACTCCTTGGAGTGTGATTGACCGTGTTGTAGTTTAACAGATGATCAGGGCAGCAAGCATAATTCCTATTCAAAGGACACAAAGAGGGTTCTATAATATATCACAGATGGAAATGAAATTTGATCACTAGGGCCCCTTAGGGTTGATTGATTACTATCGGCTCAGTAAGTTGCGATTCATACACTTCACTACTTAGGATAATGCTAATCATGTGGACCATCTTTTGCTAACAGTATTCTAAGACGAGTGAACTAAGCTGACATTTTTTCGTTGCAGGGAGAGTTATAGAACTATTGGCCTCTATTGGGTTGGATCTATTATCATGAGTATTGTTGTTTTTGTGCCAGGAAACATTGTGGGTAAGAAACTTTATCTTAACACTTTCCTCTTCTGAAACAATGGGGGCGTGTTTGTAAATAGAGAAGCCATCTTGGTTGTTATTCCAAGCTTACTGAAAAGCGGTTATGCAGAATCCTTCCTTTTCCCCTCCATCATTTCACCTGTTAAAAAATGCTTTTGAGCAACTTTCAGAAGTGTACGCTGAACGATGAGACAATCAGCGATTCCTGACATTTAGGATCTAGAGGGGGTAATTTGTGTCTGCGGCTGTCTGCGGTGTGCAAATATTTCTTACAACTTTTTGTATCATACGTAACTCTTGACACATTCGATAAATGTATTTGAGAACTAAGGCTCTTAAAAGTTAACGTGAAAGGATTATCATTTATGTGTGCAAACAATCAGGGTATTATATTAAATATTCTTTAAGAATACGGTAGCTAGGATATGCCTGGTAATGTGCACCTCATAGTTTTAAATTGACCTGTTTTATTTGGTCTCATGAAGAATATGGTCTGGTCCACAGCACAGTGTTAAATGACTTGAGGTGGGTGTCCTCAATGTTACTGGTGTTTAGAGATGCTTTTTGGCAAACGTTTGACTTTCTCTCTCTCTCTTTCTTTTAAATAGGGAAGTATGGAACCCGCATTTGCCCTGCTTTCTTCTTAAGCATACCATATACTTGTCTTCCTGTCTGGGCTGGTTTCAGAATCTATAATCAGCCATCAGAAAATTATAATTATCCCTCAAAGGTGATTTTATTATGTTAACTGTAACCTGTTCCCAAACTCACGGGGCGCACTCACATCTCCCGGCTACTGGATCAAACTGTGCCTCCGGGCACTGGAGGTCTGGGGCAGATCGTTTGACTGTGTTGATTCTGTGCATTGGTCACACCTTAGTTACAGTGGCAGAGATGGTCTGTTTCTGTCTGAATACATCTGCTTCAACTGGCCAGGCTGTGCTTTCTGGACCTTCCTGTGCCCTGGGTCACACTGACTGTTCCCAACAGAGCCTGTTCAGGGTGTGGAGTACACACAAACACGGCCTGGTGTTTGAGCATTTGGGTAGCTCTTGCAGAGATGCCAGGGCCTTTCCAAGGGGAGGCTGGAGGGATCCTGCTGTTCGGGGTAGCACACACAGCCTCAGGGTCTAATGTACCAAGGGATCCAGGCACACGAAGACTGGCTACAGGACGTCTTCCGAGACACCTCCCTTCCACTCACAGCCAAGGTGGTCAAGGCGAAGCAGTGCCGGCTGGGCAGGTACTCCGTTAAGGTCTTCATTTCTAAGCCAGTAACATCTAAGTTTCTCTTCCTTTTATAGGTAATAGATCCTTAAGCAAAGTGATATACGGAAATACGAATTACTAGAGATTGTCAGAACATGATTATTCAGTTGACTCTAAGATTTACAGAATTCCTTAAAATGCACTGTAATTTACAAACACCTCATTTGTAAACAATGAGACACCCGCTGTGCACACTCGGGATGACACACTGACATCCTTTTGAGGAACGAGGTGGTTGTTACGAAGAAAAAGCAAACGGTACCCATCGTCCTGGGCTCCACGGCTTTTAAAAAAGTCTCCGTGTCAGTGTGTCAACACTGTTCATGCCGTGAGACACAGGACACTGTTACCATTTTTTAAATGTTCAAACGCAGTGATGGCCAGGGAGAAATGGACATGGTCACACAGTGCTGCTAGGAACACACATCCAGACTTGCTCTGCAAGGCAATGTGGCGGTGTTATCAACCTTAGCAAATTTAACCCCTTAGCCTAGTAATCCCACGTCGAAGGCCCTGTCCTCGGAAGGTCATCAGAGAGATGCAGTCAAAGATCTTTGTGCAGAACTGCTCACCATCACATTAACAGTGCAAATGCCTAAATGTCCAACACTGCAAGAGTGGCTGAAATATGGTCCTTCCACATGATACTACGTTTTAGAAGAGTTTTTAATAATGTGGGCAAGTGCTTATAATGTAAGATAGCCGTTGAGGGTCCAAAGAACAAATACGCAATTGGCTATATGTAAAGTCTTAATTTTGTAAAAAATAAGTGTAGATCAGATAGATGATAGATAGCTCTGGAAAAACATAGTGACTCTTAATAGTGGGTTGGGTTTATGGTTACCTTACTTTTAAAATGAACGTATCTTACATTTATAATCACAAAACTCCTATTGCAAGAAAAAAAAATATGACTCTTAGAGCTTGAAAGTCCCTTCAGGATGACCCAGCCCAATCTCACAGAGGAGCAAAGTGGAAGCAGAGAGGAGGCGGGACATGATTTTCGTAAGTTAGGCGGCTAGTGGTTTATGACATGAATCACCTGTCTGCTGAATTCTCTCCCCATCCAGCACCATAGCACTTAGGCGTCAGCAGATCTCAGATTCTTCTTTGGCACTCTGGGCCTGCTCATTGGTTACAAACTCTTATTTTAGGTCATTCAAGAAGTCCAAGCCAGGGACCTGCTGAGAAGACCATTTGATTTATTGTTGGTCGTGTGTCTCCTCCTGGCAACTGGATTTTGTCTGTTTAGAGGCTTGGTAAGCATCACAGATCAAAGTAACATTAAAAAAAGAAAAACATGTATTTAATCAGACTTCCTAGTGCCCTCACAACATTCCTCCTGTTAGAGCCTGGAGACCCGGCCCTGCTTGCTGCCACTCTCCCACGTGCACCTCCTTCAGCTCCTTGGATTAAGCCCACCTGGAAGTCTCTTCCTTCCCCGATGTTAGGGTGCCTGAAAAATTAGCTAGTAGAGTCTCATTCCTTTGGTTTCTTTGCTGTTTCTGATTTAAATGTAAATGTCTTTGGGAAGGGTGGTACCGGAGGCCTCCATGATTGTGCTCCCCGGAGTAGAGACATGGCATTGAGGAAGGGCCCAGAGTAAGGAGTTAGGATCCTGGCTATTTACCAGCTGTGTGGCCTTGAAAAATGACTTAATCTCTTTGACCTCAGTTTCTTCTGAGGTACTGTTATAAAATAACAGTACCTATCTTACGGTGCTGTTTTGAAGATTAAATAAGAGAATAAACATCAAACACTTATACGTGGTAAGTGTTCACTACATGGGGTTACAAGTTACTATTTTTTTCTTAATATTATTTATTTATTTATTTATTTATTTATTTATTTAAGAGAGAGAGAGAGTGCAAGAGAGGGAGCACAAGCAATGGTGAGGGAGAAGCAGGCTGCCCATCAAGCAGGGAGCCTGACGTGGGACTTGAGCCGAAGGCAGACACTTAACTGACTGAGCCACCCAGATGCCCTACTGGTTACTAATTTTATTGATGGATGATCCTTTGCAGTGCTTAGTTTCATGGTTTATTCTTAGTGGAAACGAATTTCAGCAGCCAGAATCATATGGGTAACTATATTCAGCCTCAGTGACAATTACTCTTCTAAGCCTGCCGGCTTGCACAACAGTTGGGGAGCCGAGTGGCAAGTGTGAACTGATGTAGCTGACTTACTGTCTTGGGGTCCTTGAACCATATACTCTGTGCGGCTGGCTGGGTTCAGAGCGAGAAGCTGTCTTAAGAGCGGTCTCCATCAGTAAATCAGGAATTTCCTGGAGTCGAGTCAGCTAATAGGAGGAGTGGCACAGGGAAGGGATGTAAAGGAGAAAGCAGAGCCGTAGGCTTTGCTCAGAGCACAGAGCAGTTAAAACTGCTTTTTTTCCCTAAGTAATCTCCATGCCCAACATGGGGCTTGAACCCATGATCCCGAGAACAGTCACACATGCTACCGACTGAGCCAGCCAGGCGTCCTTAAAACTGTTCTTTGGTTAGTTTGCTCTAATTCCCAAAGCGAAAAGAACAGTAACAACAAAAATGAGCCCCAGCTGTATTCCTGCATAGCCATATCCACTCTGTGCACCAGAAAGATGTGTGCATGTGGGCAGGACTTTTGCAGACGGGCTTTTAAGTTTGGGCCCATTTTTTACCAACTCTGCCACTGGCCCGTGTTCATAGATGCTATCTAGATGGGACAGCATTTATGGCCAAAGACATGAAGAGTGATGCAGGAGGGAGGGGACTCAGAGGGGACCTGGCTGGTTACGTGCCAGAGAGACTGTGTCTCTTCTGTGGCCAAGAGCCTGCTGTGACCAACTCTGCTCCCCGCTCCCTTTCAAAGTGGACACAGGATGTGGCTTCACACAGGACGACCCTGCTTTCAGATCACCCTTTACTGCCCCCAAAGGCCCTGTGCTCCGTGAGCCACTGGAGAGAGGAGGAGGCTGTTTTTTTAAAGTCTGCAATGCATAGTAAGATGAATTTGGTCTAGGGATGTGCTTTTCTTCCCGCAGAACAGCTGGCTAGCTATTTATTCCCAGGAGAAGTGAAACTGGTAATCTAGCGCGAGCTGCGAGCTGTTTTGGCCGGTGGAAATCTAGATACTTAGGAGGTACCCAAGAATAGAGCATTAGTTATTTCCTGCTCTACTGTTAACTTCTTCATCTCCTTCGAGTAGATCTGTAGAATATTTCTTTTCTTTCCCTTCTACTGATGAGCTTCTACGATACACAGTTTTTGTTAAATAGCAAAACAGCTTGTGGCTGAACCCGGAACATTCAGCCCTCTTAGCAAACGTTGAGAATCAGATGTGATTGTAACTTTATAATGAATTCGTTTTTGTTCCCAGATTGCTTTGGATTGCCCGGCTGAGCTCTGTCGATTTTATACACAATTTCAAGAGCCCTACCTAAAGGATCCTGCTGCTTATCCTAAAATCCAGGTCAAGTAGTTATGAAGCCCATGGTCTTTCTGAAGTTAATGTTCATTCTTTAAGAATGGGAACGTGTGGACCCATGTAGGAAACGGGAGTTAATATTCTCAGAGATAAAAATGTTCGTCTTTGCTGCTTTTCGTCAGGCCAGGCTGTGAAGTTGCTGACGATGTTATTTCTCTGTTCAATGCAGATGCTGGCCTATCTCTTCTACTCTGTCCCTTACTTTGTGATTGCGCTTTATGGCTTAGTGGTTCCTGGATGCTCCTGGATGCCTGACATAACACTGATGCATGCCGGAGGTCTAGCTCAGGTACTAAACATACGCTCTGTTCAGAATGTCCGCTGGGGATCTGGCTGTCATTGTCAAGAATCTGAGAAACATCTCTTCTTGGTGTTTAAGGGTGGGTGGGAAGCAGGTCCTAGACTCGTCCCCTTTTGTTCTGCAGTTCTTTGGGAGACATTTCTGCGTATGCATGTTATTCAGATCTTGCAATAACTACATGGTAGGTGTGGCAGCCAGCTCTACAGGTGAGGAAGCTGAGGCCCAGTGAGGTTAACGGTCTGTCCCAGGTCACACACCCAGCAAGGGGCACCGCTGGTTCCCGGTGCTGTCTCCCAGTCTCTGAACACCATGGCTACTAAACAAGAATTGGGAGCCGTCATCTTTGAGATGTCAGTCTCACACCGAAGATGTCAGATTCTGTTGTGCTACACTACACTGAGCCAGGGAAACTGGGTTTGAGAACATTCTGTTCCCAGTCATGCCATTCCTTCCCCCTGCTACTCAGTCAAGGCCCTGGCCTCGAGCATGAGCACGGGTTCAGCGAATGCTTACTTCACTGAACTGGAAATAAAATTATCTATGGAAGTGTATTATTACCCAAAGTACATTTTTACAAGGTACCAGCAAGACAAACTGATCTTATGAACAAGGAAGAAAATTATTAAGTAATTTTATCTTTCCCCCCTTCTCACTATAAATAAAAAAGAAACAAATGAATCCATCTTGTAAAATCATTCTCTTGCATCTTGCTCTTTTCGAGCAGGCCTCAGAATGAGGCTCATGTGGAAGCGGTCAGAACATACAGTTTTGGGACAGTACAACAGCACTCTGCCCTTTACAGGCTGGGAAAATAGCTATAGGATTCATGGGTTAATACTTTAGGCTAACTCCTCCCAGTCTGAGGTAATTCTCAATTACAGAATTTGAGTATTAGTATCAAAAAAGTTGGTACAGCATCTGCCAAGTAAGGGTTCCTGTTCTTTCCCTGAAGGACTTAAGAGGGAAGAGAACTAATATTTACCCTCTTGGCAGACCTCTGACTAGCTGATTCCTTAGGCCAGGTTTTGAGCCTTTATTTCCCTATCTTCCAATACCAACTATAAGCTGACTTCCAGTTTTCTGTCTTTAGGCCAAACTGTTCCCAGACTCCTAGACCTAATCCCAGACTCAGTCTTTTCACTTGGCTGTCTTGGAGTTAGTGTCTAAAATAGGACTCCTGACCTTCCCTACATCTTACCCCCATTTCCACCATCCCTGCAAACAGCCTTTTCCATTCCCTCACCACTACATCTAGCCCGTCACTAGGTCTAGTTCTGTCTCCAGAGGAATCCGCAAAACCAGCGCTTACAGCTCATGGCCCTACAGTGGTCTGCGCTGTCACCTCTTACTTTACGGAAGGCAAAGCAGGCTAAGTGTTGTACTTACTTATCTGTAAAGATAGGCTGTGTGCTCTGCTGGAGTAGGAAATACGCAGGGGCTTAACACAATGAAGTCTTCTTTCTTGCTTGGGCAAAGATCATGTGGGATATTTTCAAGAGCCAGGCCTGGCACCAACCTGACTGACTGCACGGGAAGCAGATGAATGTGGTCTTCCTGTGTGCCCCAGAAGAAACAGTGTGACGAATACAGCATTACCCCTGCAGTTTTGTTTTGTTTTTTTAAAGCCTTACTTAAAGATAAGAAAGCAGAGGCTCTGGGCAGCTTATTACTTGCCTGGGGTCATAGTTACTAAATGGCAGAATAGGGATCTGGAATCCTGCCTGACCCCAATGCCCACATTCTTCTCCACTGGTATCCCTCTTCTCATGCAGACGTTAGGGGCGGTGGGGTCCTACGGCACAAAGCCAGACCTTTTATGGGCCTGGAGGAGCCAGCCTCTGGGTGGTGGGAGGCAGGGACACAGCGTGCACTGTGTTTGGCCAGGGAAGCGTTTAGGTGTTGCAGTGGGCAGCAGGTCAGAGGGTGGAGTAAACCTTGGCTTTTATTTTCCTGGCCTTATTCTCCCGTGCTCCCCAGGAGAGAGGGCCTCCCACCAGCCTCACTCTCACCAGTCCCTTCCTTCGAGGATTAGCTTGCTCAGAGTTTGACGTGGTTGCCGTCCCTCTCCAGGCCCTGTACCTGGGTCTGCCCCGTAGTGGGCCCCGGTGCAGGAACATGGACCGTCATCATCGAGGGAGCTGACAAGAGTGAGCCACTGTTGGACCCAGCCAGGCGGACAGTGGGCAGTCAGGAGGCTTGGGAAGGTCACACCTTGGGGGCCAGGGGGCGCTTAAAGCGATAGCACTAAGACTAATCCCGACTGTACCTGCTGGTGAGGGCCAGGCCTGCAGACAGGCCCTGTGGCTCCGGCCAGGCGGTTCGGGGAAGGGCGGCGGGGCCGATAGAGCCCTCAGCAGCAGTAGCAGGGGCTTCAGCCAGACCCCGGGCCTTGCCGGAATCCTTGGGCTTATCCACCACTGCCCAGTTTGACAAGGTAGCTGGAGGCTACAGACCAGAGCCTGCAAATGTCAGAAGGAGGTTTCTCCCAACCCAGAACGGTGTCATCTGAGAACTGGGTGTCTGACAGTCCCACAACTCTGGGCTGGGCTTTAGTATCTATCTACTCGGAGTGTTTAGCCAAAGGAAAAGTTACAAATCACACTGGAACCAAAGTGCCCATGATGAGAATGTTGAATTCCAGGTATGTGATTGGTTTTCTACCTGGCCAATACTGGCTTCTGAAACGAATTCTCGCCTTGGGAGGGCATCTGAAACTTTCATCACAGAAAACACCCTCCCTAACCCAACTCGCATCCCTCGCTGCTAAAACTGTCATTTAGAAGGTTTATGCACTCACGATCCCACTAACTTTATCAAAGTTTGCATTTCTTGAAAGGCCTAGTGAACTCCCAAGACTCTGTGATTTAGTAAGAAAAAAAAATGTTTGAAAAAATTCTAGATCAGTACAAGTCCATGGAAAACATGTTAAGTTCTTATGGGTCCCTGATTTCAGATTCTGTAGGAATCTGCCAAATCTGCTGTCTTCAGAAATCAAAAAGTAAAATAAAATCAAATAAGCAGGACACATTTTACACCAAAGAGCCAGTGGGGACTTATTCATAACTCAATTGTCTTTTCTTATAAAATTCCTATTGTAGGATTGAAGTTGCAAGTCTAGTTTGAAAAGTATTGCAGGCTGCTTAGATCCACTTATTAGTACCTTCTAGCAACTGAAGAATTTTTCTCTGCTAAAATATCACTGAACATTAGAAGAAAACAATCTAGTCAATATGGTTAAGAGCACGAGCGCTAGAGAGACTGTGTCATTATCTCAGCCGGTCCCTGAGGAGCTCGTGACCTTCACCACCTTGGATTCCTCTGCTGTGAAAGTTAGGATAATACAGGAGCTTTCTCCTAAAGCTGCTGGGAGGGGATTAAATGAGGGCATATATGTAAAAGGCTTACAACAGTGCCTGGCACAGAATGCGCTGTGGGTCTTTGTTGCTGTTCTTCTTGTTGGTTTAAGATTCCCAACAGGAGTCTAGAGAGGAAGTGCCTTGTGTTGCTCAGGAGATTCATTCATCTGTAGCCATGTGTAACAGATATTATTACCTAAAGATCAGAGAGACTGGGAGAGAGCTTTGGGATAGACTCGCAGTGGGTTTGTCAGGGAGCCTGCCGCCCATCCAGTGCCACCCACAGCCCTGGAAGCAGGAACAGTCTCCCCTGGGTCGGGAAACACCCCTTCCCACTGGCTGCTCAGACTCTCCCACTCCCTGGCTACAGCGGATGCTGTGTACTTCCTCACAAAAGGGTCTGGAAGCTTATCTGTGGATAATTTGGTTGTAGAGTTGACTCTCCTGGAGGCGAATTTTATGTTTTTTTTCCTTATGGAAACCTTTAGGAAATACCTGAAAGATTTCGGAAGAACATGGATAATTGGGATACTAATGCAAATCCTCTTTTAATAGTTTGCTTCAAGTGTAATTCATCAGAAAACATCTTTATTTAGTATTAAAATTAGACTTTGGGTTTAATGTCTTCACATGATTATCCTTTGGTGGAGACAGATCGTCTTGAAATTGTCAAAAGGTCAGCAAGGGTATCTAGAAACAAAGAACCCACCTGAGTTCTCAACAAAGTAGAATTTCAGACATGAACAGGCGATTCTCTTGGCCCTGCCCTAAGCACTCCACAAAGATCAGCTCATTGAACAGGCATAGCAATCCCTACGAGGTAGGCTCCATATTATCCTACTTTTATAGACGAGGAAGCCAAAAAAGGTTACGTACCTAACCCAAGGTCATACTGCCGGTAGAGATGGGCTCTGACACTGGAGGTCTGGTTCCAGATGCAGTGTTCTTAACCCCTGGACTGTGCTGTTCAGAAAACCCTAAAAAATGACACAGTTCTGGATTAACTACTTATATTGTATCAGCCAAATAGCCTGGCTGCTGTCCCAATATTAGTTTTGGCCTATGATACTTATGTGGACACATGATACTCTTTCAGCTCTTCTTTCTGGAACCGAGATCATGATTTTTAGCCATCCTTTCCATGTTGTCTCTAAATATAAGAAAAGGGAGCTATTAAAATTTAACCGTTCTTGGCTTTTTTTTGGGGGGGGGGGCCGCATTTTCCATTCTAATCATCCATTAAAAAAAAAAATCAACGCATATCTTGTAACTTTACTTGAGGTGGAAGCTGATTTAGAAGGGCAAGAAAGAGGATTAGGGGCTCCCAACGTCAGATCACTGAACTTGGCAGAAGTTTCTGGGCTCCACAAGTCGTACCTATGATCCTGGGTGACAGCTCAGCGGCACTGAGCCCGGAGCCCCCGGATGCCAGCCCAGGGGCCAGGCTGAGCTCTCGGTCCTGCCATCGGCAGGCCTCGTGTGCTGGGGGAGGGAACCGTTCTCAGCGAGATGGGGTTTTTCTGAAGCCTGGGGAGGAAGCAGTGGTTGGGTGCTGACTCAGCGGGAGGTGTGGCCACCGTAAAGACACCTGTTAGAGTGCACCCACTGCCAGAAACCGCAGAACACTGGCCTCAGGCTTCTCTCACCTGCGGACACCTCTTTGCATTAGAAACATAAGTAGGTAATTCTGGAGAAGGCAGGCCTGCCGAAATAGGTATAAAAATAGAGAAATGCTTTGTAGAACCTTTCTGTACTTTGACAGTCACAAGACCATTGTTGTTTAATGTTTATTGAGCTCTAACAATGCGAGAGGCGCCACACAAAACATAAGACACAGTACCTGCCCGGTGGGCTTACAATCTAATCTAAGGACATGATCATTTTGTAATGTTGCCATGATTTTGCTGTTTTTTGAAAATGAGGTATTAACTGCACTGGGGAGTGCAGGAAAAGAGCCTACGGAATCACTGACTTTTTATGCAGGTTTCCTATGCAAGTAGGCATGATTGCTCATATTAATCTCTCAAAGTACGGTTGGCACTTGCCCAAACCTGGTGATTTTTGTCATGTGTACAAGTGTCTATAAAGACAGAGACACCGAACACACATTTCTGGAGATGGAGGTTCATATCTGGCCTCTAGTCCAGAAGTTTGGTTATACTATTCAGAAAAACAGTGTTACTCAAAAGAAGCCCGAGGGAAAAATGGCAACAGGGGCCAAGCTCCTGATCAGTGCTCCTAGAACTACCCAAGAGCGGCTCCTCCGAGTAGCCCCTCCAGTACCCTTTACCCACAAGGCCGTTTGTCTTCAGCGCCCGGAGATGGAATGCTTACCACCTGCGGGGTGCCCTCTGGGCCTCTGCCTGGGGGACATGTGCTTGAGGGCAGAGCCCTCACGGAGCCTCAGGGATCACAGTGCAGATAGAGGTGGACAGTTTCTGTGTTGGTCCTTGGTAACACGCCACACTAATTTCTTATCTCCAGAGAGTAGCAAAACTGTACTGTGAGGTCCCTAGAATGTATCAGTACTTTGTAAAAACGTAGCCTGTTAAAGTACCTGTCACTGATACAGAGCCATACGCATGCTGCCAATGAAAGCTTGTCCTTTTCTTCTCTTGGTAAAGTCAAGTGCTAAGGAACACTTTTATCTGTTAACCACTTAGCAGAATAAACTGATTTCATACAGAAGGAAGTGTAAGAACTTATACGTATTTAAATAAGCAAATTATTTAGTTTTTCATTCTTATTCTGTGACTTCTTTAGGTTATAGTATCTTCTCTCTTCACTTTGATCCTGATGAACTAATAATTCATCACTTGTTGTATTTAGATTTCCAATCCTTTATTCACATATAGCTTAGATTTCCAGACTCCAGGGTTGCATTTTGTAACAATACGAGAATCTTGAGGAAATCCTCACACAGAAGCCTTTTCTAATACAGTTTTCCCCTGTGCTTATGAAAAAGTATCAAAAAAGATACATTCTGAATGTACGTTATGAACAAGTATATAAGTACAAATGGGAAGCTCTAGCCTCAGGTTATGCTGACAAGCTGTACTTCTAAATAAATTAGAATTTGATTTGAAAAGGTTGCCTACATGTACATTTACCATTTTATAAAGAGCAACCACAGTCCTACCCCCACTCAAGCTGGTAACAACCTTACTTACAAAACAACCCTTAAGTATTTTTAAAGTTGCATAAAAAACAAATACATGAAGAACTAAACAGAAAATATATAATGAAGGGCTTTGAGCTTTTGTTGCAAGGAATAGGTAAAAAAGACTGATGAATGAAGCTGAGGTCCTCAGTGCTTCTCTTTAAATAGCTGTATTAAAAATATTTTCACTTTCTAAACTCTGTACTTTCTTCATTTTTATTGGAACACATTTAGTAATAAGCCACAACGAGTGCCTGTATAGATCTCCAGAATGCAAATCAGAAGGGAAAAAAACCTGAGATTTTATTCAATTTTTCTTTTAAATTGAGCACTAATGTTTGGTAAGGGGCACTGGATGGATGATAAAGCCACACTAAGGAAGGTTTACGTTATTTGAACAGTTATGTTAAGACTGGCCCTGAATTCAGTGAAATCCTGAAGATTATGGATTGTTTGAGGGCACAGGAAACATGGTCTGAATGAGTCATCCAGAACACATTGTGAATCCAACTGAACACAGAACTCATGCTTACCTCCCCCCTTTTTTTTAAATGCAACAGGCTCAGTTTTCTCACATCGGTGCTTCTCTTCATGCTAGAACTGCTTATGTCTACAGAGTCCCCGAAGAAGCGAAAACCCTTTTTCTAGCATTAAACATAGCATATGGAGTTCTTCCTCAGCTCTTGGCCTATCGTTGTATCTACAAACCAGAGTTTTTTATAAAAACAAAGGCAGATGAAAAAGTTGAATAAAGATATTATTTCATGTTCTTCCTCTCTAGATTACAGACTTTTGTTATCCTGGTACTGATATTTTGTCCCATTTCACTCCCTTCCCATACAGGAATACTTAAGAATATGTAAATTCTTGCTCTGCACTCTATGTGTGAGCTCTCATATGGTTTTGTGTGGGTAAATTTTCTTTTTTTGAAGGAAAAGTGAAGTTGAGAAACAGTTTGTTTAAAGAAATATATTCAAAATTATTTGTGAATAAGCTTGACCTTCTATTTCAATATTCTGTTTGCACATATTAAATATAACTGTAAACAATTACAACTTAGCTCCTACAATAGTGAGCATGAAAATGAACTATTCAAAAGTGAATATGGCCTATGCATATTAAAAAATTCAAAACAGCAAATACATACTGGAGAGATACTTTTGGCATATAAGATACATATGTGTCATTATTAACCTCAATATAAAAAGCAAATCATCACAATATTTTAAAATGTTACTTGAAATATGTTTTCCCAAGGAAAGTATATTATTTACTGCTGTTTTAAAAATTGCTTTTAATAAAATTTTTTTGTGAGTCTAAATAGCTAAGGAGGGATCGATAACTTTATCATTACCCTTAATGAATACTTGTTTTATTGGTGACTGGAAATATTTCTATTGTATTTCTGTGTATATTTTTAATAAATTTTTTTTGGCCTTTTATGAAAACAAATCTTATTAAATTTGAAACATTTTGTAATTTTTTTCAGAAACAGTTTTGTAGTCTTTAGGATTTTTATTTTAAAAATCTGTCAGTTACATGTTCCAATTCAAAATGTCATCTACATTCTCCTTATGTTTTAGTGTGAGCAATGAAGAGGACTTTTGATGAATTAATTAAATTTCATTAATTTAAGATTGAACTAAAACACTCAAAATTAAAAAGTACTTTTCAAGGAAAAAGAACTGGAGTGGCATCCCTACTATCTTTTAATGAACTTTTCATATTTGGAATTGTGAGTATAGAGAAAAATTAGTATTTGTTAAGCCGCCCTCTTAGTGCCCTAGAGGGGTAAGCAGACGGTGCTTTCCTATGCTCAGCTGCCATAACCAGCACCGTGCTGAGCACCATCCTCAATGGCCCTGGGCTTTTAGAACGTCTCACATTTTCTCTCCATGTTATTTATTAGCTCTTCACCAAAATAAGAAAACAAAAAGAAAATGGGAGTTGAAACCAATGCATGGATAATGTAAAGTGTGCGAATTTAGGGTCCACTGAGCTGGTAAGTTTTATCTGAGATGTGCAAGCAATGGTGTAGCCATTCCTTTCCCTCCCCCATGTTTACAAAACACCTAAAACCCAGGCAGTGTTTAAAAAAAAAAAAGAAAGAAAGAAAAAGAAAACCCTCACCTGCACTTGATTCTATTGTCAACTTGCTGTTAACAATTTTTGCTTTAATATATGAATTACATTAATACCTCACATTACATAGATGAAGCCAAATTACACTAACTTTGTTGTTTACAACCTCAAATCTTACTCCCAGTACACATTCCAATAAATTTATTCTGTAAAAACAATACATTTTTTTGTTTTTGATTTTTTTTTTTTACAGTAAATTTTTCAACTACAAACCTCGAATACGCGAAAGATGTTCCAAGGACAAGCATAACAGGATTGATAAAACTCAAACTGACTAAATGTGTTCTCACAATATAAGCTGGCATAAAAATAAATAAAATTCTCTATTATCACAATAGCAACAATAATGTACACATAATAATGGTTTGTGGATGAATATCAACTATTCTAATTCTAGTTCCAAAAGAAAACAATGGTTCATTTAAAAGTCAATGCTTTGTCTGATTTCCCATAGGGCTACTGCTGATTCCAGCTTTAAAATGTAAATTATCCACCTTGAGTGATTAGCTCAAATTGTATTGGCATTGGGGAAAAAATAAATCATTGCCTTTATTTTGGAATAACACAAAAGACTCACTAACTTCACATATAAAAACTGAGTTTGTGTACGTAACAATATGAGTTTTGAGAAGTATAAGCTGTCGACTAGCTATTTCTAATACGGAATAGATATTTTACAATATGATTAAACTTTACACATGGCCTCAAAACTGAAGGACAATTTTAATTTCATCTTCAATATGCCAACGTTGTGTGTTTAGGAACTGGTTCCTGGGTTCTGTCACAGAGAGGAAATCCCTTAAGCATTATGTTGAGTGGTCATTTTTTAAAAATGCTAATTTATATTTAATGGGGTGTCTGGTGATAGTGGAGTAAAGGCAGGAGAATGAGGAATGTAACTGCCTTGATAAAAGGATCCTAGACATGATAAGTCTGTGCAAAAATCTTGATAATCCTTAGTGGTTAAGGGCAACTTCATGCAACCAAATAACATGGAATTAAATCAATAACCTTAAAAAAGGCTAAAATGTCTTTTTTTCCCCCAAACACAACAGAGAGGAATGTGAATAATGTACATACAAACTGGGGTTCTGTCAATGACAACAAGGAGTATGTGTTGGTTCATATCAAATCCAAGATTATTAGACAACCAAATGTATAACCTTCTTGTGGTTTCTCTTAATATGCAGCATTCATTATGGTAGTTAGGTCTGTAAAAAAAAGAAAGAAAACAAGCCTTTAGATGATTCAGGATATTAACAATAAAAGCTATCCATACCTATGAAGTACATAATAAGTGGGGGTTTCTGAGATTTTAATCTGTACTGCAGCATTAACAATACTCAGCAAGAACAGCCCGTGAGGCTTTGCCTGATACGTATCAGTTCAGAAAGCTAAAGGAGGTGCTAGGGCATCTTTAGTGCCCCGTTCAAAAACAGGGAACAAAACAACGAACTCTGTCTGCTGTCTGGCAGGGACAGAGTGCAGCAGTGTGCATTCATACAGCTCAGGATAATGTGTATTGCTGGGAAAAGTCGCTGGAGAAACCGAAATAACCCATCTCTGTGAGGACTGTGGTGTCAGAAAGAAAGGCAAGTTGCTTCAAATTTAAAAAGCATCTGGAATGTGTGCAAATTATTCTGTATACTTTTTTTTTCTGTATAATATTTATAACTTAATTACTTGGGACATATGGCTCAAAGAAATACGAGATTTAACAAAATCAAGATGTACGAAAAGAAAGGAAGTCTAGATTTCTTTGAAAATTTAGATGGCAGCCGTGTGACCAAGTATTTCCATATCCGAAAAGAACTCCGTTTCCGTCTGGGTCCTACTTTAAATTGTATCAGGTTACATTTCCTCAGAGGGATGCTGTTTTTGTTTTTTTCGTCATTAACCCAAATACATTACTCTCCCAACCCCCTAATGCTCTCAAGGGATGAATGAAAGAGGGAACTCAGGCCCCAATATTTTTTCCTAAAACAGCTTGCTTCCATTCTTCCCTTTGCTAACTGAATGAACTTGCTTGTGAGCTCAGGAGCGCTCACATACATGGTCCAAATCTACAGTGTACAGTATACCATACATAAATAATTCCAGGACTTCAAATAGGAAAAGTTACTAAACCTCAAGATGGCAGAAATACAGAAAATTTCTCTCACAGCCTGTTCTTTTCCTACCAGAATAAGAAAGTCAATTAAAAAGAAATAATAAAAATCACATTTAAAATCTGTGAACCTGCAAAATGCAGTAACTAGTGACTCTTAATTATTTATTAACACATAAAAATACTACATATGATTATACTCACAGACCTTGGGGGATTTTCCTCCCTTGTGAAGGAGGAAGACACCCATTTAAAGCAACGAAAAATTGTTAACAAATTTATTTAATAACGTCTTTTTATTAATATCAATGTGAAAGGCAATAAAATCTGTGTTTACATTGGTAGAACATTCACAGTAACAACTACTCAAACTGTATTGAAGAACATTTTTGGGACAGATGGTCCCACAGCAGCCTCGGAATAGAATTAATGCTCCAAACAAAGTAAAGGTGGTACTAGAATGTGACCACAACTTTAAGGACATGGGGTTTTTTTGGGTCTTTCAGCAAGGTATTGTCAAATGGGTGCTTATAAAAAGCGAATTATAAATCCATTTTTTCAAATTGTCATACCATCATCACTCTATTTGCATCTCTGCATCAAAAACTACCTTGCTAATTCATAATGCTATATATCCTGGACATGGTGCTCGGAGTATTTACTAGCCTGGAAGTCTCCTCCAAGTAAGCGGCCAGCAGTGGTTCCTTCTGTGCTGGTGGCCATGCTCTGTGCCAGGCCGCCCTCGGGTCAGGTAATGGCTGACTAATGCAATCAGATTCCCCTGAGGCACGTGAATGCGAGACACACGAAGAGGCTGTGGGTGGACGCAAGCTGAACGATACCCAGAACACAAAAGTCATAGATCTTTTCGTGGAGCACCACTGTCCCTTGACAAAATGACGACAGATAAACTATGGTTATCAGACGCTTTCTCAAAAGTAAGTGAAGTGAACCTATTACATCAAGGAAGACAACTGGCAGTATTTGTTGCCAACGACGAAGTTTGAGCTTTTAAGTGAAACTTAGAATTCTGGAAAACTTAATCCTCCATGATCAAGACTTCCCAATAAGGATTTTTCTGACACGATATACCTGATATTTTAAAAATGTGATTAAAAATACTTTATAATGAAATATTTGGAAGACCCAAATAACTCAGGGAACCACTATTTTTCAAATGGGTAAAAGCGATTCAACAGTCCAATGGACTTTATTACCAGAATCCAGAAAGTTCAGATTGCACATTGCAACTAACCTTTAAGAAAGCACCACTTACACAGAGCTGGTGTAGTACCAAAGAAGAACATTCGCAACAATCTGAAGAAACTATTAAAATACTTGTATCTCCACTTTCCAACCACATATCTATGTGAGGCCACATTTTCTTCATACACCTCAACCAAACAACATATCGCCAGAGACTAAATACAGAAGCAGGTATGAGAGCCCTGATGTCTTCTATTAAGCCAGACATTAAAGAAATTTTTTAAATGCAAAACATTATGGGGCACCTGGCTGGCTTTCAGTAGTGTGTGAGCTCGAGTCCCGTGCTGGGTACAGTAGAGGTTGCTAAAAAAAATTAAATAAAAACTTAAAAAAAAAAAAGTAAAGCAATGTCATTTTTCTCAAAGCACTTCCTGAAAAAGGCAGTTTTCATAAAAATGTGTTATTTATATTAAGTAATGAGTACTATTTTACAACAAATTAATAAATATCTTAAAATTAGTTTTTATTCCTAATTAAATAAATACCCATAGTGTAACAAAAGCTCTTTGGGGCCCTCAATAACTTATAAGAGTATTAAAGGGGTGCTGAGACCAAAAAGTTTGATGAACCACTGTCTTAGAAGATAAGAGACTACATGGTTAGAAGTAAGGCTGGACAGATAAACTGGGGTCAGAGTACAAAGGCCACTGCATGCTGAAGTAAGGAGTCTGGACTTGATCTTGAGGGCAATGGGGAGACGTAAGGATGTATGCCCATACTACAGAAAGAAAATAGGTCAGCGTCGGAAGAATAAAAGCGTGGACGCTGCTTAGCAGTTACAGCGAACCCAGCAGCCTCTGCTCCTCCCTGCTATTACGTGCGGCCTTGTGGTGTGGGGACTTGACTCCAGATCCAGGGGTGGGCAGAAGCTGGCTGGCCCAAGCCAGTTTTGATCTGTTATCAGCGGTTGGTTCAGGGATGGGCAACTCTCTGACACGTCTCCAGTGATCCCTGCCTCCTGGTATTCACAGCCTGGTGTAATGCCCTCTCCCCTTGAGTGTGGGCTGGACCTTTTGACTTGCTTCTAATGAACAGGATGAGGAAAAAGTGATGGGAATCAGAGATTAGATTACGAAGGACTGGCTTTGGTCTTGCTAGCATGCTCTCCGTTGCCGATGAAACTAGCCGCCATGATGGAGCTGCCTTAGGGAGAGGCTCACATGTCAAGGAACCTAGGGGGCCTCTGGCCAAAGTTAGTGAGGAACTAAATCCTGCCAACAACTACTGAGTGAGCTTGGAAGAGGACCAACCCCCAGCTGAGCCTCAAAATGATTTGAGCCCCTGCTAACACCTTAACTGCAGCTTTGGAGAGACCCAGAGATGGAGGACTCAACAAGTTTCACCTGATCCATGGGAAATGCCAGATGATAAATGAATTTTAAGCCACTGTGTCTGGAGGTAATTTGTTACATGGCAGTAAATGATACAGCAGGCCCAAGCCAATCAGTGCACAGTATTCCTGTCATAAAGATTAGTAACCTCTGCTTCACAGCCCCATGAATCAAGAAGGGAAGCTCCAAGTGTTCTGGAGCCTGCCCTTTTCTGCTTCATGCTTCGAACTGTCAGGAGTAAAGATGTTGTCGAGAGCCTCTGGAAGTAAAGGGGACCCCAGAACTCGGTGGGTTCCTCGTAAGAACCTCTTCTCTCCTTCCTTCACCAATACTTATAACCTCAACACCATCTGCCTCGAGACTATCAAACCTCTTATCCTCATGGCCTTTTACTTATTGCAGTTACCACAGATGGGCTCCTGAGCACCTGTCACTTCCTAGACTCTCATCCCCAGTCAGCTCTGTCCATGTTAGTTTTTGACCTCATCTCTTAAACTCTCCTGCGCCCACCCAGATTCCTTGATCTCCTCCACTAGGCCCATTGGAAATCAGTCAGCCACTAGCAAATCTCCCATATTCCCAACTTGCATTTCTCGGGTATTCTGCCCCCTAATTTGTTCTAACGGAAACCTGGTTCTCCCTGGGGATTGTGCTGTTGCTTCTCCTGCAGCCTTCACGTGGTAGCTCTTTTCTCTGCCACAGCTCTTATATGACCGGCCCAGAGGTGGGGAAGGTGTCCTTCCTGATCGTCACCACTGTTTCTAAGCTGTTCCTCCTCTCTTCTGTGCTCTCGCCCGACCACCCAATCCTCCCAGCTTTGAACCTCAGTACTGTGAACTTCCACCCCTCTTGCCTGCAGTCACCTCCAGACTCCCTGGGTTACACTGTCATTCAGTATCATAACCATTGGGAAATCTCTCCATGTAGGCTGTCGTTCCAAAACTCTGACCTCTCAGTGCCTTGATTTTCTCTCCTCCAGAGATCTTGTCCTCCACCCTACCTCAGTCACTCACCCCCCATGGCTAGTTCTTAGGCAAGTGTTTCTCAACCCCTGGGAGTACAGGAATCCCCCACAGATCTGCGGTTTCACTTTCTTTGGTCAACTGTGATCAGGAAGCAGACGATCTTCCTTCTGACTTTCCTCCATCGGAAGGTCGACAGTAGCCTACGTCACAGGGGCTTCATCATTCCCCTCACTTCCTAGGCATTCTGTCATTGCCCTTCATCAATCACAGCACACTGAGGTATTTTGAGAGAGGTCACTTTCACTTAACTTCTGTTACAGAATACTGTTACAGTTGTTCTATTTTATTATGAGCTGTTGCTGTTAACCTCTTACGGTGCCTAACTTACACCTTAAGCTGTATCACAGGTGCGTACGTACCGGTGAAAACAGAGTATATATGGGGTTCGTACTACCCACAGTTTCAGGCATCTACTGGGGGGTCTGGGACTGTATCTCCTGCAGATAAGGGGGGACAAGTGCATTTGCAAACATGGTTTTAAG